CCTCCTTTTTATGTAGCTCCTCCTACAGAGGAACGGAAACCCCTGAGTGGCGACATGAAAGTCCAGCACATTTTACATGAGGCAGTGGAGTGTAGCAGTTAAGACTAGGGGCCAAAGAGGTTGAGTTTGAAGCTTTGCAGCTGCGTGACCTTGAACAAGTTATTCCAGAACTCTGCAACTTAATGTGTCATCTGTACAATGAACCATCTCCGGGAGCCATTGTAAGGAGGAAGTGATGTAATGTGTGTTGTTACCTAGAATAGTGCCCTCAAGCAGTAGGTGGTCTGTAATTGATAGTTGTTATTATTACAGGTCTCTGTGTGAACTGCTAAGTGGTGGCATTGTATTTTTGTTTTGTTTTGTTTTTGATTCATTTATCTGACAGGCAGAGTTACAAGGAGAGAGGAAGAAACAGGGGCTGCGCCATGGCTCACTTGGTTAATCCTCCACCTGCGGCGCCAGCATCTCATATGGGCGCTGGGTTCTAGTCCCAGTTGCTCCTCTTCCAGGCCAGCTCTCTGCTGTGGCCTGGGAGTGCAGTGGAGGATGGCCCAAGTGCTTGGGCCCTGCACCTGCATGGGAGACCAGGAAGAAGTACCTGGCTCCTGGCTTCAGATCAGCGTAGCTCTGGCCGTGGTGGCCATTTGGGGGGTGAACCAACGGAAGGAAGACCTTTCTCTCTGTCTGTCTCTCTCACTGTCTAACTCTATCTGTCAAATAAATTAAAAAAAAAAAAAAAAAAAGAAACAGAGAGACATATTCCACCTGTTGGTTCACTCCCCAAATGGCTGCAACAGCCAGAAGTGGGCCATTCTGGAGCCAGGAGCCAGGAGTTTCCTTTGAGTTTCCCACGTGGGTACAGGAGCCCAAGCACTTGGGCCATCTTCAGCTGCTTTCCCAGGCACATTAGCAGGGAGCTGGATTGGAAATGGAGCAACCAAGAATTGAACTAGCGCCCATATGGGATACCAGCATTACAGGCAGCAGTTTTACCCGCTACACCACAGCGCTGCCCCGGCACTGTGTTTTACACATCAGTCTCTCATGAGGTTGGTAAGCATGAGCCAATCTTCCAGGATGCATTTCCCTTTGGAATTAATAAGGTTGAGTTTCTAGATATCTGAGAACAAGATCTTCCACCACAGTGAATTTGTTTGCTTGTCTGTTTCCCACAAGATATAGGTAACTCCTTGAAAGGAGATTTTATGCTTCCTTATCTCAAATCCCCAGTACCTTGAATAGTACCTAAAACATAGTAAGAGCTTAATACACTTTATAGAATTTATAGCATTGTTCCAAAATTTTCACTGACCTATTTTAGTCCTATCCAATAAAAAGTAATGTGAGCTATATGCATAATTTTCAATTTTCTAGCAACCACATAAAAAGGAAAAGGATTAGATGAAAGGAATTTGGGAAATATTTTTATATTGGACTCCTACCTTACTGCATATAAAAAATTAACTCAAAATAGTTCAAAGATCTAAATGTAAAAGCTACTACTCTAAAACTCTTAATAGGAAACATGAGTATAAATTTTCATGACCTTGGATTAGGTAATAGTTTGTTAGATAAGATACCAAAGTATAAGTCATAAAAGAAAATTAACAAATTTGACTTGATAGAAATTAAAAAAAATTTTTTTTGCATCAAAGAGCATCAGAAAGAATGGACCAGTGCTGTGGCTTAGTGGGTAGAGCTGTCACCTGTGACACCAACCTCTCACATGGGCACCGATTGGAGTCCTGGCTGCTCCACTTCCCATCCAGCTCCCTGCTAATGCTCCTAGTAAAGCAGTGGACGATGGCCAAAGTGCTTGAGCCTTTGCACCTATGTGTGAGAGCCAGATGAAGCTCCTGGCTTCTGGCTTCAGCCTGGTCCACCGCCAGCCCTTGTGACCATTTGGGGAAGTGAACCAGCAGATGGAAGGCCTCTCTCTCTCCCCCTCTATTTCTCTGTAACTCTGCCTTTCAAATAAAAAACAAACAAACAAAAAAGAGCACCATAAAGAAAGTGAAAAGATAACCTACAGATACTCTGTGGCAATAATTCACCAACACCATTGCTAAAATAATTTGATTTCCATAGTGGTTCTGAATATTAAGATTCTAGGAGCATGTGGGAATAGTCTCCCCTCTCATTCTCCTCTGATCCTGTAATTTCTCTCGTGTCAACCACAGTGATGTAAGGTAGAGTAGCTTTTAATAAAACATGAGGTTTTAATAAAAGATCAGACTTCTCAGGGAGCTATTAATCATGGATATCCCTCCTGGCTACTCCTTTGATTACTCTGGGGTTTCCTCCATCTTCATCCTCATCTTTCTGAGTACTTCCATGTTTTCAGGTCCACCTTCTGTCCTCTCTCTTTCTGGCAGTCTGTCTCTAATCTAGGTCTCCTCCTCCAACACGTGTTTCTTATCTATCAGTTATTGCTAACGCATTGTCACATAGGTGCTGGCTTGAGGACAGAAACTATCACTCATACTTGACTGGATTCTGCCATTTTGATCAGTAAGAATTGATTGATCTCATTAAGCAATAGTTAGTGAAATAAAAAAGTTTCTGAAACAATTTTGTTTGATTTTAATGTTTTAGAATCCAATAGCTTATTCTTTTTGGATTATAAACTTCCAGTTAATTACCCTGAACCCATTCTTAGTTTGCTTTATAGAAATAGCCGTCACCAAAAATTCTATTTCTTTTGTTATCTTCATGGCAATATTATTTTTAGAAATGAAAACCTTCACATACCAGTATTTATTTTCATTGGCTAAAACATTCCATCTGCTATTCTACCTCCATAACATCTAACTTTTTTTTTTTTTTTTTGACAGGCAGAGTGCACAGTGAGAGAGAGAGAAAAAGGTCTTCCTTTGCCGTTGGTTCACCCCCCAATGGCCGCTGAGGCCGGCGCACTGCGGCCGGCACACCGCGCTGATCTGAAGCCAGGAGCCAGGTGCTACCTCCTGGTCTCCCATGCGGGTGCAGGGCCCAAGCACTTGGGCCATCCTCCACTGCCTCCTCAGGCTACAGCAGAGAGCTGGCCTGGAAGAGGAGCAACCGGGACAGAATCCAGCGCCTTGACTGGGACTAGAACCCAGGGTGCTGGCACCATAGGCGGAGGATTAGCCTATTGAGCCACGGCACTGGCCAACATCTAACTTTTTAATTATTCAGACCATACACTGAGATTGAGTATTACAAAGCATTTATAAGGGGTCAGGTGATTGGTGCAACAGTTGACGCTTGGGATACCTGCATCCCATGTCAGAGAGCCCACACTGAGTTCCAGCTGCTCTGCTTCAGATCCAGCTTCCTGGCAGCACACATCCTAGGAGGCAGCAAGTGATGCCTCTAGTACTTTGCCCTGCCACTCACACGGGAGACCCAGACCAGGTTCTGGGCTTCTGGCTTCGGCTTGGCCCCGTTCTGGCTGCTGCAGGCACTTGGGGAGTGAACCAGTGAATGGAAGATCTCTGTCTCTTGGTCTATCTCTGCCTTTAAAATAAAGTAAATAAATAAATAATTTATTTAGGGGCCAGTGCTGTGGTACAGCAGTTTAAGCTGCCGCCTATGACACTAGGATCCCATGTGTGTGCTGGTTGGAGTTCCGGCTGCTCTGCTTCCAATCCCAGCTCCCTGCTAATGCACTTTGGAAAGCAGCAGAAGATGGTCCAAGTACTTGGGCCCCTGCTACCCACATAGGAGACCTGGATGGAGTTCCAGGCTCCTGGGTTTGGCCTGGTCCAGTTCCAGCCATTGTGGCCATTTGGTGAGTAAAGCAGCAGATCAAAGATTCTCTCTCTCTCTCTCTCTCTCTCTCTCTCTCCCCCCCCCCCATGTACATAATCTGCCTTTCAAATAAGTAAATAATAAATATTAACTAATTTTTTAAAATCAAGCTATGAAAAACATGTCAGTGGAGTTGCAACTTTAGAACAAGGTCTAGCAGTTTCTTGTAAAAATTAAACATATATTTTCTCTAAAATTCAATAATTCTACTCCTGGGTATTGCCATGAAAATAAAAACATATATGCACAAAAAAACTCATACAATAATGTTCATGGCACTTTATATGTAATAGCCAAAGAGCAGAGACAGATAGGTAGCCATCAGTAGAAGAATGCATACACAAACTGGGACAGAGTTACACGAAACACTCTTGAGAAACAAGAAGGAGAAAACCAGTGGTACAAGCAGCAACACAGAGGACTCTCAGACTTGTGCTGTGAAAGAAGCCTTCCATAATGCAGTTTGCAGCGCATGGGTTCAATTATATGACATTCTAGAACAGGCAAAACTAATCTATGCTTAAAAAAAAAAAAACAGAACAGTGACCATCTCTTGGGATGGTTAAGGATTGATACTGACTGAAGAGGCATGAGGCAGTTTTGGAGTGAGAGTAATGTTATTTTGATACAGAACTCAGTTATACTGGTATGGGTGTTTGTCAAAACTCACAGAATATTGGATTAAAATATGTGCATATCTAAAATACAACTCTAAGTAAAATTTAACAGTTAATGAAATGCATGCTGAAATATTTAGGGGGAATTGATGCCTGCAACTCACTTTATTTTTTTTTTTATTTAATGAGCATAAATTTCCAAAGTACAGCTTATGGATTACAATAGCTTCCTCCCCCCCCATAACTTCCCTCCCACCCACAACGCTCCCCTCTCCCACTCCCTCTCTCCTTCCCTTCACATCAAGATTAATTTTCAATTATCTTTATATACAGAAGATCAGTTTAGCGTATATTAAGTAAAGATTTCCACATTTTGCTCCCACACAGAAACACAAAGTGTAAAATACTATTTGAATACTAGTTATAGCATTAAACACCTAAGAGTAATTGTGTATTAATTACAGAGTTCAACCAATAGTTTTAAGTAGAATATAAAATGCAACTTTTGTATTGTTGTGGCTCCCCCCCCCTCCAACCACCCTCCCTCCCGTGGCCCTCCCCTCTCCCTCTCCCATCCCGCCCTTCATCACGTTTCATTTTCAATTACCTTCATATACTGAAGATCAACTTAGTATATACTAACCAGGGATTTCAACAGACTGCACTCACACAACCGAACCAGGTATAGGGTATTGTTCGACTAGTAGTGTTGTTTTTGAGTTTCATAGTTAAACATATTAAGGACAGAGATCCTGCGTGGGGAGCATGAACCCAGTGACTCCCGTTGTTGATTTAACAATTGGCACTCTTATTTATGATGTCAGCAATCACCCAAGACTCTTGCTATGAGCTGTCTAGGCTATGGAAGCCCCTTGAGTTCACCAACTCTGAATTTGTTTAGTCAAGGTCGTATCACAGTGGAGGTTCCTTCCTCCCTTCAGAGAAAGGCGCCTCTCTCCTTGATGGCCTGATCCTTCTGCTGGGGTCTTGTTCACCAGGATCTTTCATGTAGATTGTTTTTTGCCACCTTGTCATGGCTTTCCATGCCTGTGAGACTCTCACGGACCTTTTAGTCAGATCCGAATGTCCCAAGGGTTGATTCTGAGGCAGGAGCTGCAACTCACTTTAAAATGTATCAAAAATAGGCCGGCGCTGTGGTGCAGTAGGTTAATCCTCCACCTGTGGCACTGGCATCCCATATGGGCACTGGTTCGAATCCCAGCTGCTCCTCTTCCAGTTCAGCTCTCCGCTGTGGCCTGAGAAAGCAGTAGAAGATGACCCGAGTGCTTGGGCCTCTGCACCCATGTGGGAGACCTGGAAGAGGCACCTGGCTCCTGGCTTCGGATCAGCCCAGCTCCAGCCGTTGCAGCCATTTGGCAAGTGAACCACTAGATGGAAGGCCTTTCTCTCTCTCCCTCTCACTGTAAATCTTATCTCTCAAATAAAAAAATATTTTTAAAAAGATAAATAAAATAAAAAAGAAAATGTATGAAAACTTAGATGGCTTGATGGACGGATAGGGATGACAGATGACAGCTATGTGATATAGCTACTACCACATTATGGTAGAATCCAGGTGGTGGGTACATGCATGCTTAGTGGTTTTTTTTTGTTTGTTTGTTTTTTGTTTTTTGTTTGTTTGTTTGTTTTGACAGGCAGAGTGGACAGTGAGTGAGAGAGACAGAGAGAAAGGTCTTCCTTTTTCCGTTGGTTCACCCCACAATGGCTGCTGTGGCCGGCGCACTGCGGCCAGTGCACCGCGCTGATCCGAAGGCAGGAGCCAGGTGCTTCTCCTGGTCTCCCATGCAGGTGCAGGGCCCAAGCACTTGGGCCATCCTCCACTGCACTCCCGGGCCACAGCAGAGAGCTGGCCTGGAAGAGGAGCAACCGGACAGAATCCGGCGCCCCGACCAGGACTAGAACCCGGTGTGCCGGTGCCGCAAAGGCAGAGGATTAGCCTAGTGAGCCGCGGCACCGGCCATAGTGTTAAATTCTTCCAAATTTTCTGTATATTTGAACTTTCATAATGAAACACTGAATAAAAGTTCATTATCTTCTCTTCCAGCATCAGTGAATCCTCCTCTTCACATTCCTTTGTTCCTCCCAGTTCCTGGAGGCACAGAGACAGCCATGCCCTACTGCTACCCATGGAGTGCTCTTGGTGGACTCTGCTCAGAGCATGATTCTCCTGCTCTTTCTGCATCTCCCATCTGAAATTTCTTGTAGGGATTTATTCCTTTCGATCTAGAGTGCGTTTGAGTCATCAGAAGTCTCCTTTCAAAATGCAGATATTCCTAGGCCAGGGAAATAAATTAAGCCTGGAGGGATTTACTAGTCAAATAATGGAAATTTTTAATGGTAAATAAAATAAAGAAGATAAGAACAAGAAAGAAAAACAGAGAATCTATGTGGGAGGTTGGCGCACATCAAAACTGAACTACCATGGACAATTTTTGCCTGGAACTGAGTTAAAATGGCAGGGTTCGTTTGTAGGGAACTTGTCCAACCTGTGGTCCTCAAGTCCCAACAGCCAGAAGCTAGAAATAGGTTCAAGATAACAGTCAGCAGCAACAAAACATTTCTCCAGCCCCAACCTCGCTTGTCCATTAAGCTTCAGTTCTCTCACTTTTCTACTTTCCATTGTGGGAGGCCTGAGAGGGTGTCTCACGTCCACTTGAGAATGAACCCTGTCCCTGCCTTGGCCTGTTAAGGCTGCAAGTTCCTCTTGGACATTCCATCAAGGTCTGGGTTAGAGGCCTGGGTGGTCTCTCCCACATCATTTATGATTCCAAAGTAGAGTCAACCCATACCCCTGCTCAGCCACTCTTCCCTTCTGAATTCCAAGAGCAGACCCTAATGAGGAAAGTTCCTATTGACCTCTAAAGCCCTGTGTGTCTTCCCTAGAAACATCATTGAAACCCTGTTTTGTTCTAACTGTAGCCATTTCTCCTCAGGTTTTGGGTGTAGATCATGGAGGCAGGACTGGGACCATCTGTAGGGTGGTCAAAGTTTCTGTAGACATAAGAAAAATCAAAAGACTATGCAGACAGAGGTACTGCAAACACCTTAGGCCAGAGGACACGGGGATCCGGCTGAAATCACACACAGCTCAGGGAAACATACACTTCCCAGCACATGCAGAGCCTCGCTGATCCAGAATTCTCTACATCCTGTGATTTATGTACTGAAAGTTACATAAAGTGGAATATCCCATCAGGGTTGTCTGGTCTCTCAGACCTTCCTTTCCCAGAGATTTCTTGTCTTTTCTTCCTTCCCTTTCTGAGAGTGCACTCCTTAGTTATTCAATGCCCTGTTTCCGAGACAGTGTGCTATCCTTGCACCAATCTAAATTCTTAGCAAACAATTCACGTACTGTGCCTCCCTACTTTCAGGCTTTGCCTTCAAGACCTGTTTAAAATCTGTTAAGACCTCAGAGCACAAATTCAAGATTGCTTGGGTTTTTACCTTCCTGGATTGCAGCACTAAATAAGCCCAAATAAACTTTTCATTTTCTAATTGAGTTGTGCCTCAGTTTCTTTGTTGTTCCTTTTTTTTTTTAATTTATTTGATAAACAGGATTACAGAGAGAAGGAGAGACAGAGAGAAAGGTCTTCCATCTGCTTGTTCACTCCTCAGATGGCTAGAACAGTTGGAGCTGAGCCAATCCGAAGCATGGATCTTCCTCTGGGTCTCCCACACAGGTGCAGGGGCCCAAGCACCTGGACCATCTTCTCCAGCTTTCCCGGCCATAGCAGAGAGCTAGATTGGAAGAGGAGCAGATGGGACTCTAGCCAGGGCCCATATAGGATTCTGGCATCGCAGGTAGAGGCTTAGCTCACTAAGCCACAGCACTAGCCCCACCTCAGTTTCTTTTAAAGGTGAAAAGTTGTGCTGAGATTATTCCATCCCTTATCACTGGCTCACTAACATGGGCAATCTTTTGATTCTCCTTTAGTATGAATTCTCACTTCCCTCAAGAGGTTTTTTTGTTCCTTCATGCTTATCGGCCTGTAATTGTCTCCCCTTCTATTTGTTTTCAGTCAAGATTGAATACTAGGAAGATCCCACATGAAATGATTGGGATGGGAACCCAATCTCAGAATAAAAACAAATGAATATGAGCATGGTCATGTGACTTGCTTTAGTCAAAGATGCATTATCAAGCATGACTCAAACAAAGGCTTGGACATAGTGTGTGCATTGGATGCTGCCCTCTTTGACTGATTTTGGAACCCAGAACCCAATAAAAAGTTGAGATAGCATGCTAGATGGTGCAGACACATGGGCCAGTTGCCGCTGCACCATAGCCAACCACCAGTCATGTGCGTGGGGCTATCCATGATCAACTGATTTCTGGCTGACCCATTGGCTCTTTGTAGTCTCATAAGTAACAGAAGAACCACCTAGCTGAGCCCAGTTCACAGTGCAAAAACCTAGAGTCGCAAGCTACTCATTACTGTTGTTTTAAGTGCCTAGGTTTTATGTTAATTCATTATGTAGCAAAAAATAACTGATACACTGTTGGAAGGGCAGAAAAAGGAAGGTGGTATTGGTGGAATAAGCATCTGAAGGGAATGTGGGATCGATGGCACAAGCATCCATAATTGATTGAGGAGATAAGACCTAAAGTCCTTTTCAGACACTGAAAAGGCTGTGATTTGGTAAGAAGATTCCAATGTCTACAGACAGTGTAATACATACAATTTATTTAGTTTTCTTTTTTTAAAAAAAGATTTATTTATTTATTTATTTATTTGAAAGGCAGAGTTCCAGAGGCAGAGAGAGAGAGAGAGAGAGAGGTCTTCCATCTGTTGGTTCACTCCCCAGATGGCTGCAACAGCTGGAGCTGTACTGATCCAAAGCCAGAAGCCTGGAGCTTCTTCTGGGTCTCCCACATGGGTGCAGTAATCCAAGCACTTGGGCCATTTTCTACTGCCTTCGTAGGCCATAGCAGAGAGCTGGATTGGAAGTGAAGCAGCTGGGACTCGAACTGGCACCCAAATGGGATGCCAGCAACTGCAGGTGGCAGCTTCACCCACCATGCCACAGTGCCTGCCCCTTTTTTAGTTTTCAAATTCAAAGTTTATTTGAGAGAGAAAGGGAAAAAGATCCCACTCACTGGTTTACTTCCCAAATGCCTGCAATGGGTGAAACTGGGCAGAAGCCAAAACTGGAAGCCAGGAATGCAATCCAGCTCTCCCATATGGATGACAGAAACCCAATCATTTGGGTCCGGTGTTGTGGTGTAACAGGTGGAGCCACCAATCCCATATGGATGCCAGTTCAAGTCCAGTTCCAATCCAACTCTGCTGTTGTCTGGGAAAGCAGTAGAAGATGGCTCAAGTCCTTGGATCCCTGCACCCATGTGGGAGATCTCTAGAAGGCTCCTGGCTCCTGGCTTTGGATCGGCTCAGCTCTGGCTGTTGCGGCCTTTTGGAGAGTGAATCAGCAGATGGAAGACCCTTTCTCTCTCTCTCTCTCTCTGTCTCTGCCTCCCAAGGTCTGCACTAAGAGGAAGCTGGAATTCGAAGCTGAAGCTGGATATTGAACCCAGGTACTCCAGTGCGAGACATAGGCACCTTAACCACTAAGCTAAATGCCCACCCCATACATATAATTAAATTTATAATCTAAGACCATGTCTTCTCTTACCCTCTTTTACATTGTAAATCTCAGAGGTGTACAATGTGAGACCATGAGAAACTACTACTGATTATCACACACACTGCTCTTGTTACTTCTTGGCCATGTCTTGTCGTATTGCCACAAAGGCAGTACCTTGCTTGAGTTGTATACTGCTCATAACTTTTGCTTTGCAAGATTCACATTCCAATCCTGAATTGGAGCTGTAGGCATTAAAAAAGAGTTGAGACTTATGCATGAATTAATTTTTTAATAAAAAGATATTTAAATCACTTGCGAAGTCACAGACAACCATAAAAGAATGCAGATGCTATAATGTTAAAGGAAATTACCTCTAGGCTTCCATCCAGTACAAGGCAATTTTCAGTGACTAAGACAGAGGTCTTGAGGATAAGAGGCAATAATGGAAATGCTGACAAACCCATAACTCCCACTGCTGAAGCAATGGCAAAGACCAGAATAACAATGACACACTGTGATTTCCCAGTGTTCTTACCTAGCGGTGGCAGCAAATGACAAAACAGGCTTTCGTAAGGACATTATAATTAAATCACAAACTGTTTACCTAAATCATTTCTGAAGGGAAAAACAGCACTATTGAATTTTAGGTAAGATTTCATTTCACTGAAGTTTTTGCTTCCTGCTCCCAAGTCTCAGATTTCCCAGATGGGCCACCACCTTATCCTGATTTGCATACCTGGGGTCCACCTGAGGCCACAGGGAAGGCAATGCAGGAGGGAGCCGCCATGTCTGTGTACGTAACATATGCACTAAGAACTGCAGATGGCAGTTCTGGGAAAATGTCCTTTTTCAGTTCCCCCTCCCCTGCTGATGACACAGTTTGCTTTTTGAAGTCTAGGGCCATCAGCAAAGAGTGTGGACAGAGTCTCATCTCCATTTATACTCCCTGCTGCCTCCTTGGCTTGCAAGTCCCCCAAGGGCCTCAAAGGTTCTCCTCCTTCTGATACCCAGAGCTGACCCAGCAGGAGGGGCCCGGGATGAGTTGGAAAGCACAGCTGCCCTTATTCATCACAGAACGTCCTCTCTTCTTATCTTGCCTTTTTTAGCCTCAAGGACAAAGACACAGAGATGATTCTTGATTTTCCTCATTAATCTGCTCCAGCTGGCAGTCTGCCCAACATCTGAAATCATGTGTGATGTAACAATTATCTTTTTCTAATGCTAACATCTCATTTTCTGTAGTTTTATGGAATAACAGGGTGGGAATTCAGCTTAGAATGTTTTGACCCATAATCATTCAAACAAATAAAAATGAGGACAAAGAGAATTATTGTGACAAACAAAATAAAAGTTTTACATGAATCACGATTTCCAGAGGCCACATGGCTTATCTGTTTCGTAATGACCCGGAACCTTCTCCTCACAGAGTCCCTCTTGGCAACTTAGTTGCCCAAGGCTGACTAATGCATGGACCTAGAACAAGTGGATACGCAGACTGCAGACTCCCAGAGCTGAAGGCACCTCAGAGTCCATTTGTGTTCAGTAGCTCTGAGCATCCTCCAAGCCTGTTTAGGAATGCGAGACAAAAATGGAGAGTGTTATGTCTTGAAATGAGTCCCTTGAAGATATGTTCAAGTGCTAACACCAGATCCTGTGAATGTACTGTTATTTGGAAATAAGGTCTTTGCAGATGTAATCAAGTTAAAGACGTAGTCTCCAGGGTGGATCCTAATCCGATATGACTGGTATCCCTATCAGAGGAAGAGATACTGAGACAAAGACACCCGAGGGGGAGAACACCATGGAATGACAGGCAGAGACAGCAGTCGCTTGTCGAGAACTGCTGGCAACGCTGGAAGGTAGGAAGAAGCAAGGAAAGCTCCCCCCTTATAGGTTTCAGAGGATGGTAGTCATTTGATTCTTTGATTTTGGACTTCTAGCTTCTGGAACTGTGAGACAATCAGTCTATTTTATTTTTATTTTACATTTATTTATGTACTTGAAAGGCAGAGTTACAGACAGGTGGAGGGAGGGAAGGAGGGAGGGAGGGAGGGGGGGAGAGAGAGAGAGAGAGAGAGAGAGAGAGAGAGACAACTTTTCTTCTGCTGGTTCATTCCCCAGATGGCTGCAATGGCTGGAGCTGGACCAAACTGCAACCACGCACCTTCTCCAGATCCCCGACATGGGTGCAGGGGCCTAAGGAACCGGACTGTCTTCCACTGCTTTCCCAAGGGCATTTAGCAGGGAGCTGGACTGGAAATGGAGCAGCCAGGATTCAAACTGGTGCCCACATGGGATGCTGACACTGCAGGTGGTGGCTTTACCTGCCACACCACAGCGCTGGCCCATCTTTGCTTTAAACCACTGTGTTTGTGGTACTTAGGATAACAGCCCTAAGAAAACATTTACAGAGAAGTAGGGTCAACGGAGCAGGATCCCACGGCTGGCGATGATTGATGCCACAGGAGAGCACGCCCTGAGGCTCCCCATCCCAGGTGTCTGTCCATTCTTCTGGGTTTATTCCCCTGTAATTATTTCCTTAAAACATTCTTGTCTCCTCTCACCTTTTGATATTTAAAAATTTGAGACCTATGGATAAGTTGGAAGAATAATTCAATGAGAACACTATCCCCTCCTCTTGTTTCACCAACTAACAAGTTGCTATGTTGGTTCTTCTCCTCTTTCCATATGTTTACTTTATTCTTGAACCATGTAAATGTTCCAAATCTCTTGACATTTCACATCTACAACACTCAGTGGGTGAGTCCCAAAAACACAGCACTCTAATTCTTAACAATCAGATTCCAAGATCTTAAAGTCATACAAAAGTGATATCTAATTAAATAACTAAGTTCCGTTTTCTCCAATGGTCACTTAAATGCCTTTGCATATATTTTCTTCCTTCTTCCCATCCCTTCTCTATTTCTGTTATGAGGTTTTATTTCATGTTTTGTGTTTTACAACACTGACATTTTTGAAGATTCCAAGCCAGTTGCCCTCCTTAATGCTTCACAATCAATTCACATCTACTTGCTTCCTCACGATTACATTCAGGTTAGACATTCTTTGGTGAGAATTTTACCACTATGCTGCTGTGTATTTCTCATTGCATCTCACCAGGAAGAATATGATGAAAGTCCATAATCGTCATTATTGATGGTGTCAGCTTCATTGCTTATGGTAGTATCTGCCAGATCTTCCCATTGTAAGGGCACCCCTTGCCTCACTGTAATTAGTGAACTCTCTCTCTCTCTCTCTCTCTCTCTCTCTCTCTCTCTCTGCGTGTGTGTAGGGAGTAATATGAGAAAATATCTGTTCTTAACTACTTAATACTACTTAATATCTAGAATTAAAACAAATGCCTTACTTGATATTAGATATCACTCCACAGCTGAAATGTAACACCTAGCATGTCCTGCTTGATTTACCACATTTTTTAAAAAAGGGGTGGAAGTGAGGTTAAGGTTAACACTAGCCCTCTTTCTGCACAAACCATTGGCCTGTAGATATCGGAAGGTCATTCTCCTGGCTTTACTGGCTTGCATAGTATTACGGAGGTTTTGGCCTCACCCAAGTTTGCTGAGCCTTACTAAAATGTGTTGAAACTTAAGAAGCCACACCAAAAGTTAAGTATATTAAAGAGCCAGCACGCAATGACATTAAGTAAACCAGTTTGCTTCTCGGCAGGTCAAGGCTGAAGTGTCACAGACGACACAGAGCTATTCTATTACGCTTGTGGCAGGGTGGCATTTTCCTTGCTGGCTATCAGGCAGAACATGAACTTGAGAAAGCCGGACAAAAATAGATCTCGAAAGCCATGACAGTCATTTTTAAGAGGTCAAAATTACTCTCTTCTTTAACTGGAAGCACTGAAAACACACACCTAAGTCATGGGGTGAAAATTAAACACAGCCCCAAGACCACCCTCAGGGCATTCCTAGGCCACAAGAGAACTGGGTGTGCAGTGGGATTCCTGCGGAATCTTTTCTGTGTCATTTGCCCTACCAGGTTACAAGTTCCATGAGAACTGGGTCTTTGTCCTGCTTAATCTCCCCTGTGCAGAACAGGCTCTGGGTGTTCAGTAACTATTGGGTGAATGGATTATCGACTAAAAGTAGTGCTCTTAGATGTTAGGTCAATTCCACTCTCCCTAGACTTTCTCAACAAGAGATGCAACCTCATGACTCTTCTACCCCCTTTTAATTTAATTACAAATTAGATTCTCTGGAGTTACTGATAACATTTGTCTAGAAATACTGTGATATAAAATTTTCATTAATTTGCTTGCATATATAACTAACCAAAATAAATGAACTGCCTTATAAACATTAGTACTTTTTTTTTTTTTAAATTGCTCATGAACAGGTATTTTAGTTTCAAGGAACCTGAAAGAAACAACTAGAACACATCAATCAAGACTCTTCAGACTCGAAGTTGGTAGAAGTAAGCAGAAGAGAGGGGGCAGGAGAGAGGCACGTTTCCAACAGGAAATAGGAATAATACAAATTGTAATGCAAGGTGACGAGTAGCTGGTGCTTATTGCATGTGTATCACCTCTGTTCACAAGAGCCCTGTGAAGTAAGGACTATTGTCTCCATTGTAGAGAACAGGAAACAGGTTTAGCAAGGTTGTGACTTGACAAGTTTTTCTTTTTTTGCTTTTTTAAAGATTTATTTATTTATTTGAAAGGCAGAGCTACAGAGAGAGAAGGAGAGAGGCAGAGAGAGAGAGAGAGAGAGAGAGAGAGAGAGAGTGTTCTTCTGTCTGCTGGTTCACTCCCCAAATGGCCACAACAGCTGGAGCTGGGCTGACCTGAAGCCAGGAGTCAGGAGCTTCTTCCAGTTCCCCCACGTGGGTGCAGGGGCCCAAGGACTTGGGCCATCTTTCCCAGGTGCATTAGCAGGGAGCTGCATTGGAAGTAGTGCAATAAAGCCTGTTATTTATAATTCATGTCTGGCAAGTTTTCAAGGAAATCATTGATCATTTCTTAAAGTACTTATCTTGGGAGGAAGTCAGCACAGATAAGTTGCTATAAGATCACTGCCCCAGAGTTGAGAGAGGAATCCCTATGTTCTTAAACATCTTTTTCTTTTTTTAAAGATTTATTTATTTATTTGAAAGGTAGAGCCGTGGCTCAAAAGGCTAATCCTCCACCTTGCGGCGCCGGCACACCGGGTTCTAGTCCCGGTCAGGGCGCCGGATTCTGTCCCGGTTGCCCCTCTTCCAGGCCAGCTCTCTGTTATGGCCAGGGAGTGCAGTGGAGGATGGCCCAGGTGCTTGGGCCCTGCACCCCATGGGAGACCAGGAAAAGCACCTGGCTCCTGGCTCCTGCCATCGGATCAGCGCGGTGCGCCGGCTGCAGCGGCGGCCATTGGAGGGTGAACCAACGGCAAAGGAAGACCTTTCTCTCTGTCTCTCTCTCTCACTGTCCACTCTGCCTGTCCAAAAAAAAAAAAAAAAAAAAAAAAAAAAAAAAAGGATGGTGGAGTTGCCGGAAAGCCCAAAGGCACAGAGAGAGAGAGAGAGAGAGAGAGACAGGCCGGTGCTGTGGCACAGCGGGTTAATGCCCTGGCCTGAAGCACCGGCAAAGACCTGGCTGCTCCTCTTCCGATCCAGCTCTCTGCTGTGGCCTGGGAAAGCAGTAGAAGATGGCCCAGGTCCTTGGGCCCCTGCACCCATGTGGGAGACCTGGAAGAAGCTCCTGGCTCCTGGCTTCAGATGGGCACAGCTCCGACCACTGTGGCCAACTGGGGAGTGAACCATCGGATGGAAGACCTCTCTCTCTCTCTGTAACTCTTTCAAATAAATAAATAAATCTTAAAAAAAAAAAAAATTGCCACATTAAATGTGCAGATGTGGAAAAAAAAAAAAAGAGAGAGAGAGAGAGAGAGAGTTCCTAAACCAGTTTCCATGTTTGCAACAGCCATTTTTCATACCCACACCTGACATCCTCTACCGCTGCAGCCACTGGTTTCCCCTCTTCCCCGTGAGCCCCAGGAAACATGAAGAAACATATTCCATGCCAGTTTTAAAAAATCAAGTGCATATTGTTTTTCTTTCTTATAATTTCCCCTTAATGCACGTGTGGTTAAACAAAGAGCAGGGACTCTTTTATATAGTAAAATGTCTCTTTTCCAACTCCAACCCATATGTAATTATCGGTAACGAGGCTTCTTATCTATAGGATTATAAGAACCAATAAATGAATGAATAGATGAAAATGTAGACTGTTACAATGTTGCCAAGTTTCATTCTGTAATGAAAGGAAACACATTATAAATCATATCACCATCAGAACCTTGCAAAACAAAGCAAAATCTAGGAAAACAAAGAAAATATAACAGGAAATGAGGAAACAACAATTTCAGGGTAAATGATTCTTTTTAAATCACAAAGTTAATTTATTTACAGAAACAAATCAGTCCTTTTTTTTTCTCCCCTTACCCTGCCACTACTCAGTGAAAATTCCATTATTATCCTAGGACCCGCATTTGGAGGCCACTGTTCTAAGGGTCTTTCCCAACATCTGCAGGGAGAAAAGTCCCCCTCCCTCCTGGCATCTTAAGTGAGCACCTCTGTTATGTCATACAGTTTCATAATTATTTCTGCTCATATTCATCTAAAAGCTACACCACAAATTTCCAAAGACACAAACACTTATCGTCTTGTTGAACATAGCACAAAGCTGAGCACACAGTACACTTAGAGTGTTTATCGAATTAGTTCTCATAAGTCAGTCAAAAGAGAAGATCCTCTCCCTAGACACATCTGATCACCTTATGCAAACTGGCATACAACAACAGGCCCTGGAGGGAAGTCCCAGGTGTAAAGAACATTATAAGAACAGTCAAATGCCCCAGGTAGGGCAGGCATTTGGCAAAGTGATTAAGATGCCTTTTGCATCCCATATCAGAGTGCAGGGTTCAAGACCTGGCTCTGCTCCTGGTTCCAGCTTCCTGCTAACACACACCCTGTGAGGCAGCAGGTGATCACTCAAATGGTTGGGTTCCTGAAACCCGTATGGGAGACCTGGATTGAGTTAGTTCCTGCCTTCAATCTGACCCAGTGCTGGCCGTTATAAGCATTTGAGCAAGTCAACAGATGAAATCTCTCTCTCTCTTTCTCCATTTCTCTGCCAATGAATTAAATTTATTTTTAAGTTTTTAAAGGCCGAAGACACATAGCAATGGCTTGCAGATTTAAATTAAATGTGAAATAATAAATACCATTGTTCAGAAAAGCAAAAAAATTTATTTGGTGTTGTGTTTAAACATTGACAGTAACATCAACCTATATGCATTTCAAATGAAAATAGAATTTCCAGATGCAGAATAGAGTAAGAATCCTCCAAAGGTAGGGTGATAGCCAGCAGCAAACAAGCTCCTCAGTGCAGGCCATTTATTGGTGAGTCATGAATTTGTGTCTGAAAACTGAACACTGAGCCAGCAGTTCCCTGCAACCAGGAAAACAACACTTTCTAATTTATTTCCCTGACAAAATCTGGCTATAGTTCAGCAATGCAGTAAAATATGTTCCATAAAAATATCTTTATGAGTTTTCACTTTACATCGAAAATTTCTCCTTATGAGATGTGGAATTGCAAAAGTTTTATGTTTTATACATACAAATTTCCCATGACCATAAAAGTACGAGAAATTAAAATTACAATCAATTTTTTCTTTCACTACCAAATTCAGAGAATGGAGGCCTAATGTTGTATTAAGTTAACTTTATTGGCCGGCGCCCCGGCTCAATAGGCTAATCCTCCGCCTAGCGGCGCCGGCACACCGGGTTCTAGTCCCGGTCGGGGCGCCGGATTCTGTCCCAGTTGCCCCTCTTCCAGGCCAGCTCTCTGCTGTGGCCAGGGAGTGCAGTGGAGGATGGCCCAAGTGCTTGGGCCCTACACCCGCACGGGAGACCAGGAGAAGCACCTGGCTCCTGGCTTCGGATCAGCGCAGTGCGCCGGCCGCAGCGCGCCAGCCGTGGCGGCCATTGGAGGGTGAACCAACGGAAAAAGGAAGACCTTTCTCTCTGTCTCTCTCTCTCACTATCCACTCTGCCTGTCAAAAAAAAAAAAAAAAAAAGTTAGCTATTATTTTAACTCCTTAGTGGAGTTAAAAGTTCAACTGTGTTGTGTTGGCTTAAGGTTCAAATCTGGATCTACTTTTAGTAGTGATTAAATAGAGCTGAGGTTACACAAAGCAGTATATGTGAAATTGCCTCAGCACTGGCAACTGCAGGCAGGATCAGAGGAAAATAATTGGAAATCCAGAATGTCAAATTTGCTGATGTTCATTGCTCTTGTCTTCAAGACCACAGGAGTGGAAACAACTCTGGGGGTCCAACCGGAGCGTGTCTGGATCCAGTGCTGCTTTCAGCAAAGTGCACGCTCCACTATGCTATACTCATGGTAGGTGGCAGCTTCCAAGATGGCCCCCAGTCCTTGCCACTAGGGTGCGTACCAAAGGGATCCCCTCTCACATTTCACCAGGGTAGTTTTGTGTGATCAGGACACCCAGTACCTCCAAGACTGCTAGAAAAGACACTGAAGCTCCTGTCATGGTCTCTCATCCCCTTTCAGATCACTCATTTTGGAGACAGACAGCTGCTGTGTTGGAAGCAGCCTCACATGGTTAGGAACAGAAGCATCCTGCCCACAGCCGAGTGAGCTGGGAGCATCTCTCCAGCCCCAGTCAAGCCTCCGGATGACTGCAGCCCTGGCTGACAGCTCAAGTGCAATCTCAGGAGACCCTGAACCACCAGGCTAAGCTGATTCTTGACCTTCAGAAATGAGTGAGGTAAGAAATGTGTGTTGATTTGTGCTAATTTGGTTGGGGCAATTTATTGCCCAGCAATAGATAAAACATCGTCTTCATCTTGGGCAAGTTAGACAAATGAATTGAGCCCCTGCTTCTTCATCTATAAAATGAGGACTAATCTACATGGAAATTTATTTATATTTACTGTCCTTTGTTCCTGAAAGAATTTATGACTACTTTTAGGGATGCGTAAAATACAAGACACCATAAATTAAAAGGACAGGAAAATGAGGGTGGGGATATAAAACCCAGACAAGAAAACATGGGAAAAAATAACATATTATACCATCCTGCGATTGGGCCACAGTTCTGCATCTGAAACTTTGAATAGCTTTCCCCCTTCTCTCTCTCTCTCTCTCTCTCACACACACACACACACACACACACACGGTCAGGTATTGATTCAGTTCAGAGTCCAAAAACTAAAAAAAGAACTAAAGAAAAAAAATGCAGCTACTTCAGAGACATACATGATCCTTATTACTAACAGGGATGAGAATTTTCCCGGAGTGCTGTCCTGTGTGCCATCCTTTATATTCTTACTGCCATCATTTAGCTCTACATTTTAATTCTTGATTCCCATACCATGGAAGTAGTGCATAGCTATTCCCAACCAAACTATGATACAAAGCATTGTCAGAGCACTGTCTCTCTACCACAATTCAGTCCAGTGTCAAGTTGGGTTTAGACTGTAGAAAGATTGGACATCCTTGAAATTAAGCACTTTCCAGAGTTAAGATCGGGCTGTCTTCCTCATCCCTATATTCTGCATTTCACACTACACAGCTCCACACAGATTTGCTTCCTCTCCTTTCTGGGCCTTTCTATACTGTAGCTCCCATCTGCAGTTCCGAAACCTCCACCACCTCCTTTCTCAATCCCAATCTCATTTTCTAAAAATGGCTCAGATTCCAGCTCAGAGAATTCAGTCTCAGAGTTGGAGTGTCTCTAACAGTCACTTTGTCCAATTCTCAGCTTCATCCATGCCTCATCCACTCACCCAGCCAACACTCACCTCCTAATCCCAGTTAAAAGCAAATGTGATTGGGATCAGCTCAGAAAGAGGTCACAATTTATACAGAGGGCCAGGCACGTAAAATGATCACAGTGACCAAGACATGAACAAAGTGCTTTTGGGAAACATTCTTTGTCCCTCATTGTGTAGATTCTATCTGAATACCTTTAATAACAGAAAATTCATTCTCTTAAGGAACGACTGTTCCATTCCATTTCAGAAAGCTATAACCACATAAAATTCCATACTGAGTTGAAGTCTCACTTCCACACATCTATGCCAGTTTTTTAACTCCTGGCTTTTCAAAGACAAATCTAAATTTCTTTTCATATAACTCATTAAAGCATGTGACGACCACACTATGAATATCCCTAAATGTCCCCTATGTCGTGATTTTAGACTCTTTCTCCTGCTGGCAGCCCTTCCTCTGGCTATACTTAAGATTTTTTATGCCCTTCCATCTTTGGTAGCATTTCATCAAGGCAAAATGGAAGGAGACCGTCATCTCCTTTGTTCTTATCTTAATGCAACCTAAGATAACATTTACCTTTTGGGGGAGGGAAGGGGATACCTCTGTTACATTGCTGCTAATAGACAAAATTTCTCGTGATTCCTCTTTTCTCTCTCACACACCCCTAAGTGATTTCTCCTCTAAAAACCTGCATGTAGCACAGGGTTTGAATCGCTCATACCTGGGCTTGTTGCATTGTTGTCTATTGCTAGTTACCTAGATATTGGGTTTCTTGAGGGTAAAGATACTTTTATTATTCATATTCTCTTTTAATACGTATATGAATGAATGAATGAATGAATGAGTGTTACAGCGAAAGAAGCACCGTGGGATTCACAGCAGCAGGCCCACAACAGTCTCCAGAACCTGTGAATATGCTGTTTCCTGGCAAACAGGAATTAGGGTAATGCCTGGAACTCAGGCTGCTAATCAGATGCCCTGGATTATCCTGGTGGGCACACTGTAACCACAAGGTCATTTTAAAAGGAAGGCAGGGGGCTGGTGTTGTGGCACAGCCTGTAAAGCTGCCACCTGCAGTGCCAGCATCCCATAGGGGCACCAGTTGGTATCCAGCTGCTCCACTTCTCATCAAGCTTCCTACTAATGGCCTGGGAAAACCAAGGGAAAATGATGGAGTATGTGGGCCCCTGCTACCCAGATGGGAGACCCCGATGAAGCTCATGGCTTCGTCCTGGCCCAGCCTCAGCCTTCGCAGTTATGTGGGGAGTGAACAAGCAGACGGAAGACGTGTCCGACTCTTTCTTTGTTTCTCTGTCTCTCTCTCATGTGTATGTGCATACACTCTGTAACTCTTTCAAATAAATAAATTAAATTAAATAAATGGAAGGCAGAGGGGGAACTCAGAGTCAGAGAGTGGTTTGCAGATGCAACTCAGCAAGCTTTGAGATGAAGAGAGGAGCTGTGAGACGGCATGACAGAGCTTCTCAAAGCTCAAAAAGGCAAATGGGTTCTTTCCTGGAGCCTCCAGAAGGGATGCATTCCTGGTGGTAACTCCATTTTAGCCCAGAGACAGACAGTTCAGACTCCGGATTTGCAGAATTGAAAGACAATGTGTCTGTGTGTATGTATTGTCTGAAATCACTAAATTGGTGGTAACTTGTTACAGTAGCACTAGGATACTAATTTAAGGGCTAACATTTGTGTTGGCATCTCATTCACTTTGCCCCTTAAAAAGAAATAATAAAGAAGAAAAAAAGTTGAAGTTATTGGGCAAATTTTAAAATGTTAACCAGCTAGTGAGAAGCAGAGCTTGGATTTGAACTCAGGTCTCTGACTCCAACTCAAATTCACTTCACAAAACTATGATGCCTTAAGGATAAAATTATTCCTGAGTAATTGTCTAAATATTCATATCATGACTAGAGACCCAGAGTCCACTGTTCCTAGCAGAAACTTGATACGTAACAGCTTATTATCAACATTCTCCTTTCATTCACTGTCTTCCTCTCTTTGAACTCCTATCTCCAGTTAATACTGCTTAAAAATAAAAGTAACATCCTTTTTTAATATTTATTTTATTTATTTGAAAGACAGAGTTACAGAGAGAGGTAGAGACAGAGAGAGAGGTCTTCCATCCACTGGTTCACTCCCCAGATGGCCGCAACGGCCAGAGTTGTGCCGATCCGAAGCCAGGAGCCAGGAGCTTCTTTCGGGTCTCCCATGTGGGTGCAGGGGCCCAAAGACTTGGACTATCTTCTTCTGCTTTCCCAGGCCATAACAGAGAGCTGGATCAGAAGAAGAGCAACCAGGACTAGAACCAGTGCCCATATGGGATGTGGGCACTTCAGGCCAGGGCTTTAACCCGCTGCGCCATAGCGCCAGCCCCAAAAGTAACATCCTTAACTGAACATTAACTTATTGCTTTTGATAAATCAAACTGTTCATATCATGTAATAAACTATAGTTTTATTAGTAGGGTGACAAATGAATATAGATTAATTTACAAATATGTATAATATCTGGCATCCAATTTAAATATGCTTCTACAAATCACATTTGGTTCTGAAAAACCACAAGCAAAGTCTCCAATGCTATAACAAGAGTAGCTATTCAGCAGTGATACTCACTATGAAAACTGTATTGCTTGTTACAACAAGCATGGGTGGGAGTTCTGAAATTATAAGGATAGAATTTTCCTTCAAATTCTTAATGAAAATGTGAAACCCACAAAACTATACTTAATTGAACACACATTCTGACTTTAAGCCCTTTAGAAGCCCAAGGAATAGATGACACATTCATTCATGAAATATTCTCCAAGCATTCATCTGTTGCGACGTGCCACTTTTTTCTTAATTTAAAATGAGCTCATTTATTCATTATTGAGGACCTATTCTGTGTAGTGGTCAATATAACATAGTACGAGTGTACCGGTGGTTCTACTACTTCCTCCTTATGTGACCCTGGGGCAAACTACCCTCACCAAAACTCCACCTCTCTTCTGTGAGATGGATGTAAGGCTAACACCTACCTCATAATCAAACAACACACTTAGAACAGGAGGGGGTATAAGGGAAGACCCACCATCTGTTGGTTCTAACATGCCAGGCTATGGATTTATATTGGAGCATAAAAGAGACATGGTTCTACCCTCTGAGAAATTCACATTCTAGTAGTTTGAAGCAAAAATTATAGTTTCTAAGAAATGTGCAGATGAGAAGTTATTATTTTTGAGTCCATAGGTTGGGGACCCCCGAAGTCTGAAGATTGGTAGAGCCTGCTAAGAAAGCACCCAGAAGCTGGCACTACTGGAAACATACCCCAATCGAGACTCACCCCAATGTTCTAGCTCTCCTGAAGCCCTTCCTCCACCTTCCACCTTCTACATTTTGGTGAGTCCATCTACAGAATTATACTGAATGAAAAATTAGTCTTGTCAGATTGTCTGCTGTCCAGACAAGAATACTAACCCCCAACCCTATCTGCTCACCCATGAACATCATCCTTAGCCAAAGATACTCTCACTGACAGAAACATTAGAAGTACAGACAGTCCCTGACTTATGATGGCTTGATGCATGATTTTTCAACTTTACAATGATGCAGAAGTGATATGCATTCAGTAGAAACTATACTTTGAATTTTGATCTTTTTCTGGGCTGGGCAGTGGCAGCAGCCCTAGCTCTGCCAGCCCTGCCATCACAAGGGCTACAATATACAGTACTGTTAAGCTGTGATGTTCAGGTGGTTAGGTATATTCAATGCTTTCTTTTAAGATTTTATTCAAAAGGCAGAGTTACAGTGCAACATAGAGAGGGAGAGCCAGAAAGAGGTCTTGCATCTGCTGGTTCACTCCCCAAAACTGCCTCAATGGCCAGATGGGGCCAGGCCAAAGCCAGGAGCCAGGAGCTTCACAGGGATCTCCCATAAGCACTTGGGCCATCTTCCACTGCTTTCCCAGGGACATTAGTGGGGAGATGGATCAGAAGTGGAGCAGCCAGGAGTCGAACCAGCATCTATACAGGATGCTGGCATTGCAGCTATCAACTTAATCTGCTTATGCACCAAATGTATTTTTTATGATTTGTTTATTTGACAAGAGTTACAGAGAGAGAGACAGAGACACTCCCCAGATGGCCACAACAGCCAGGGGTGGGCCAGGCTGAAGCCAGGGGGTCTGAAACTCTAACAGGCAGGAGCCCAAGCACGGGCCATCTTTCACTGCTTTTCCCAGGTGCATTAGTAGGAAGCTGGAATGGAAGTGGAGCAACCAGGACATATGGGATGATGGCATCACAGGTAGCAGCTTTACCTGCTCTGCCACTGGCCCCCAAGTCCATTTTGACTTGCAATATTTTTTTTACAGGCAGAGTTAGACAGTGAGAGAGAGAGAGACAGAGAGAAAGGTCTTCCTTCCATTGGTTCACCCCCCAAATGGCTGCTACGGCCTGGCGCGCTGCGCTGATCCGAAGCCAGAAGCCAGGTGCTTCCTCCTGGTCTCCCATGGGGGTGCAGGGCCCAAGGACTTGGGCCATCCTCCACTGCCTTCCTGGACCACAGCAGAGAGCTGGACTGGAAGAGGAGCAACCAGGACAGAACTGGCACCCCAACCGGGACTAGAACCCAGAGTACTGGCGCCGCAGGCAAAGGATTAGCCTAGTGAGCTGTGGCACCTGCCGACTTGCAATATTTTCAACTTAGGTTGGGACCACTCTTGCCCCATAGTTGATGGGCATCTGTATGTGCCAGCCACACAGGCCCAAAGACATATAACCCTCTTGCTAAAAGCACCTGCACCTCTAAATCAAGCAACCTCAGATACACACTTTTTGTGTTGTCACATTCAATGAATGTGCAGAAATTTCCTGCCTGTTGGCTAGGAGAGTTTTATCCCAATTTTGGAGAATGAAACTTTTTCTTCCTCTCAAACGTTCTGTTGCTTCATAAATTCTCAAGAAATTGGTTTCCTTTTCAAATACATGAGACAAGTGTAAAAGCACCCAGAACAACCTCTGGTCCAAAAGAGACGAGCCACTACACAGCTCCAAATAATTCAATCTCAAAGACACAACTCTCAACACTGAAATGGTAGTAAAGAAGGTACCGATGGTTTGGTGACTTGGTGATTATTGCATTTCCAAGCCAAGAGCTGTAGGGAAATGGGAGCTATAGTTTATGGTGAACTAGTTTCTCTCCCCTCTGACTGCTGATCTTGGCAAAGGCCACAGTAAGTCAGCAACCATCAGGCTGACAGCATCTCAGGCCCACATGTTATCTATTTTAAGCCTCTTGGCTGGCCCCACTGAGATTGCTGGACTATCTCCACCTTGTGAAAGCTAACCTTCAACACCCCCAGGGGTCTTTACACCTGCCCACAAGAACACTAGACCAATCTGGTCAAACATCTGCTCATTTCCAGGTTTACTCCAGGGCAAGAGAACAACTACACGTGAGGCTCCCTTTTCAGGAATCGGCATTTTTGGTATGAGAGTGAGCAGTCAGATAAACAAAAACCCCCATTTTTATAGAATACTCTATTTGTACCATATTCTTTTGAAGCCCTCTTCTCTCTCCTTGTCTGCCATCCTCTACAACAATCCTGAGTATGTTTCAGTGCTACTTTTCAACACTTCCAGTGTCAAAATATCAACAGGTGTTCTGGAGCTACAACAGTCTGTGGGGTCAGAGCAGCAAACCCAAGGACCTGCCCTAGTTCTGGCCAGCTGGCCCCATGATAAGAAACAGCACTTCTGAAGCAAGCCTGTTGGTTGGCCGAACAGTGCTCCATCTAGAAACAGAAACAACAGGTCAAAGAGGCATCGAGGTTGGCAGTAAAATCCCCATCCAGTGGTATGGGCAGCTGGTATCTCTTGGAGGACTATTTATAATACACACACCACTGAATCATACAGCTCTGCAACTGGAGAACAGAACTTAAACCTCTAAATGAGAGAATTTCAAACCCATCTTTCTGAGGAGGCTTTCTCCTGATTTCAGAAACACATTGGCATTCAATTCTACGGGAATGCTTTAGACTGTATCTAGTGGTGAGAAATATCAGTTTTTTGAGAGAAGGTGTTATTTTCAGAAATAGGTTATCCAGAATAAAGAAGATCAATACTACTTTGGTGTGAAACCCAGGTGTGACATTTCCTTTGCAGCTCTGAAAATGATTTGAAAGAGATTTCAAAACTGCCCTGAAGGGGCCTCAGGGTGCTGGTTCAAGTCCCAGCTGCTTGGCTCCCAATCCAGCTTCCTGCTAATGTGCCTTGGAAAGCAGTGAATGATGGCTTAAGTATCTGGCCTCCTGATACCCACGTGGAAGACCCAGATGGAGTTTCTGGCTCCTGGCTTCAGCCTGGCCCAGGCCCAGCAACCATCTGGGGAGTTAATCAGCGGATGGAGGATCTCTTTCTGTGCCTCTCCCTCTCTGTCACTCTGCTGTTCAAATAAATAAATCTTTTTTGTTGTTGTTGTTAAGTGCTCTGAATAATGGCAATGCCAGTATGGGATAAAAGCATACACTTCCATGGTTAACCACTTTGATCAAGACCTATACATTCCACAGTCTTATTATTCTATTTCACAAACATCAGAAAAAGTGTTAGAGACAGGGAAGTCTACTACAAACTTCTTGTCTGGGTTCTCAGGCATAAACTCTTAAAAAAAACACACACACTGACCACGCATGCCTATAATAATAGCTAATACTTACATATACAGTACTTACTATGTGCTGTGTAGTTTTGTTAGTGAATTATCCATCTACTCAAAACAGTCCTGTGAGTTATTACTTTTTAATTCTTATCTTGCCCATGAGACAACTGGGGCATGCAGAGGTTGCCCAAGACCACAAAGTAAGCTGCAGAGTTGGGATTGGAACCAAGGCAGTCTGCTTCCAGCTTTGCTTTTACTAGGTTGCCTCATCCTACTCTGCCTCTGAGACAAGAGAAAAGCAGTTATCAATAGGGAAAAACTTGCAAATTCATGAGCTCATTTGAGAAGCAAAAATCAGAGAAGTCAGGCAGATGGACCCGTGTGATCTAGGAAGAGAGTCACACAGATTAGCTGCAAGTGTCCCATGGCCAGCCCAGTAATGGGCTGGAGGACTCTTCTCTTACAGAGGAGAAAGAAGGCAGCTTGGAAGATCCAGGAGTTATGAGGAACCACTTTGAATATGTCACACTCTTCGTTTAATATAAAAATCAGATAATGTAAGATTAATAAAAACAACTCTAGGGATGCACATTGTAGCGCATGGGGTTAAGCCACCACTTGCGATACCAAAATCCCATGTTGGGATTGCTTCTGCTCTAGCTTCCTGCTGAAGCAGCCTGGGAGGCAGCACAGGATGGCTCCAGGGACTGGGTCCCTGTTACACAGTGGGAGACCCAGGTGGAGGTCTTGGCTTCTGGCTTTGGCCTGGCCCAGCCTTGATTGTTGTGGACATTTGGGGAGTGGAATAGCAGATGAAAGACCTCTTTCTCACTCTCTTCCTCTGTTGCTCTTTCAAGATGTAGATGTAGATAAGCATTAAAAAAAAAAAAAAAGACAAAACTCTATAGTACTGCAACACAAAATTTTATATCCAGCCCACATCATTTTGTGAACTTTATTGGACAGTAGGCAATCATGTGACTAAATCAAATTCAGCTCATTGGTTAAACAGCAGGCAGGCTAAGGGCAATGATCCACCTGACACCATCTCCAAGGAAGCCCTTGGAACACACTGTGCCATAAAGAAGGGAAACGTGTGGATGGAAGGAAGTACGCGTACGACTCAGGTGTCTTCTGTTTAAGCACGTCCAATGCCAATGCCACCCTAAGTCTAATCTCATCTCACAGACGCAGAAACAGAGCTTCACAGAGAGACGGAAAACTCATCACTGGCAGTGACTCAGATGCAGGGCTTCCGACTCCAAGTCCTGTAATCTTCCCACGTCTGCAGGAGGCATTCTAGCCCTCCTCGTCACCACGCAGGGAAAACGAGACAATCTCGATTTCAAAGCCTTTCAGGTAACAGGATCACACACCTGTTTGTACAGGGGGTAGAACTTCCTCTTGTGGCTGCCTGGACCGGGTTCCTCCCCTTACCTGGACCTGAGGGGTGTCCAGAAAACGATTAAAAAAAAAAACAAAAAACAAAAAAAAAAAAACCTGTGAGTTAACGGTCCTAAAATGTGAAGTGCAACGTGGTCGTGCGTGAGTCAATCAACAGGTACCCCAGCGGTCCTCCGTGAACCACAAGGAGTTTAGTTCGCCGTTGCACCGGGAGCCGCTCCCGCAGCCTACCCAGCGAAGCCTGCACTCACAGGTGAAGCGCTGGGGACGCACGGCCGCTCTCCCGCCGAGGTGCCAGAGGTTCGCGGAAGCCCGCCCAGCGGGGAGCAGTCCGTCCCCGTCGTCCCACGCGCGCCGAGACGCTGGGACCGGCCCTGGAGCTTCCCCATTCCCCGGCACGCCTCCAACTACGTCCGGCTACACTGACCGGCGGCCAAAAGCACCGCTCCGCCCCATCTTCCTCCCGCTACGGGCCGCGGCCGCGTGAGGCGGGACTAGGGAGCCAATGGGAGGCGCCATCGAATGGAAGGGATTGTCTGACCCCGTGACGTCACAAAGCTGGAGGGGAGCGCGCTTCTCTTCCGCCCCCGCCCCCCCCAGCCGCGGCCCGCTCTCCGCCTCCCCGCCCACTCGTCACTGTGCAGCCAATCAAGAGGCCGGAAGCGCTCCGGCCCGAACGTACGGGCGGGGCAGGGAGGCGGCCTGGCGGGGCAGGGGCGCAGAGTGGGCCGGCCGGGGGCGAGGTGCGGCGAGCCGCACGGGGTTGCGTGGAAGGAACGCCGAGTGGCGCCACCGCTGCCGCAGCCTCCTTGTGCGGAAGAAGCGTGCGGTCTTCTGCCGTGCCCGGTTCGTATCCCCCTGCTCCCGGCTCCTAGCTGCCCCGTCCGGAATCCTCCTCCTCCACTGGTCCAAAGTTGTGAGGGAGGCGTTGTGGCGGGGGTGCTCGGCGCGCCCGGGCGGGGGCGGGCCGAGTGCCAGAGCGCCAGGTGCGCGCGGGGGCGTCGCGGCCGCTGGGCGGGTGTGGCGGTGCCGGGGGCTGCTGCGGGCTCCGAGTGAGGGGGCGGGCCGGCCGCGCTGTCTGCAGGTCCGCGGGGCCGCGCGCGTCCGCTGTCAGGGCACCGGGCGCCGTGGGGGACCCGCGGGAGGGTGAGCTCCGCGGGTGGCTGCGCCGGGGCGTCTGTGCCTGAGGGGATCCGGGGTCCAGGGCGCCGCTGGCGGCTCCGGGCCTCCTGGGCTGCAGCGGGCGGCGCGTGGGGCCGGGCGCGGGATGCTGTGCGCCCGTGGGCTCCGCGCCCGGGCTGGATGGAGGGGCGGGCCGCCGGGCGCGCCTCTGCTCGCGCTCGGCCCCCGCCGTCTCGGGCTGTAGCTCCCTGCCTCTGCGGCGGGGTGGGTTTGTTTGTTTGGTTTCCTCCTTCTCCACCCCTTTCTCCCTCCTCCATCCTCTACCCCCCTCCCAGCCCATTCACCGGGCTGGAGCGAAACCTCGCCCCTCCTCCGCTCCCGCCTCCCCGCCGCCGCTGCCGTCGCCTCCTCTAATGAGCATCTCTGCCTTGCCTTCAATGGGCCGGTGCTGCTGTCGCTGCTGCTGTCCGCGCGGGTTGTGGATGTTGTCGGCTCCGTGTTGTGATGACAGGAGAATGTGTGTGTGTCCCGGGCCCAGACGAAGTGGTAGGTATTCGCCTAACTACCTGCGTTGGGTACCCAGGTGACCGGTTTTTGTGTGTGGATGGTTTTAGGTGGGTCGGCGTGGAATTAAGGCGTGAGATAGATAGGGAACGGGGACAGAGGCATCCTGGACCAGCAGAGCTCTGACGCCTTAGTGAGTGCAATTTTCTGGAAGGAACAAAGGAAACTGATCAAACAAGTGCCAGCTTGGTGCTTTGTGCCTTCCCAGGCAACCAGGTTCTTCATTCATGTAGAGATCGCAGGAGCTATGCAATGGCCAGGCATTTCCAGAAAATGCTTGAAAAACCGAAAAGAATCTTTGTGCGGGGTATTTAATGCAATCAGATTACATAAACTGGGGTTCTGACACATGTAATGACTAGTATGACAGTTCTTTTTTTTTCATTGATCTTAGAAGCTTTGTAGCGCTAAGGGACTCCGGAGTAGGTGCAGTGCTCGCATTTTATAATTAATCTGGTCCTTGGGTTTATTGACGAAGTGCAGTAATTTCTTGGCATAGGTTCTGCCGAGCACATCAGTAAGAATGGATGTGTTTCCTGTTTCTGGTTACAGCGCATCTTTCTTATTAGTCATTGGCAAAATCGGCCAAATCTTTCTGAGACAAAGATGCTGCATATAATGTGGGTGCGTGTGCATCATTGAACAGGAACTTTAACGTGAAATTGTGGTCAGGAATGAGTTAAAATTTGACACTGCTCTAGTTTACCAACAGTGGTCCCGTGTCGCTGCCCTTGTTGCCTAATCAAGAGCTTTCTACAAGTTTATTGGCAAAGTTTTGATTTCAGAGGGTTTTTTTTCTTTTTGATTATTAGTGAATCAATATTCAGAAAGATAGTGAGTTTTTCAGTGCTCATTGTTTTTATCAAAGCATTTGAAAGTACTTTGACTTCTGAGGGAATCTGGTTTGATGGAGAGAATGTATCTCTGGTACTGATGCCCGTAGAACATTCATTAATCACAGAGCAGGGTTTTTATGAATTCTAACCTTCCTAAGTATTTGTCATGTGAAGTCGGGTTGGGAGTTGGGGGACTGGAGTGTAGTCTCTGTCGGTGTGTTAAGCCACTGATAGAACTGATAAAATTCAGTTTCTCCTTTTGTTTTTGTTTTAGCTTTAAGATAACTTTTGTGTTGGAGAAATACCATAGTTGAGTATTTGAGTGCTTGATGTTTGACTATAGGTAGTCTTCAAAGCACCTGCCGTGTAAATCATTATTAGCTCTTTTGCCGCAAGATGTCATTCATGTTGCAGTGAACTACAAAAGCAGAAAAATAATCAACACAAAAGAATTTAAGGAAAGTGTAAATTTCCCGGACTTGCTGTTCCTTCATTAGTTAGAAAATCAAGCCCCGATAGGCATTTATAGCCCTTCCATCTTAAGTTTTAAAATAAGGACAAACCTTGTAAAATTATGAAGAAAATTTAAAAGATTGCATTTGTTTACACTTGACAATAGAAATTTTTAATGAGTTGCTATGTTTCTTGCATGCAAACCTAAAAAGAAATGTGTTTTGTTTCTGGAAGCCAGTGTCATGTGGCCCAACATTTGAGTACATCTTCTGGCTCAGTCCTGTACACTTAACCTTTGGATGACTTTCAGGTATTCAATTGGAAGTGCTGTTATTTATGTGGTTAGTACTGATAGATTCCTGTTCTTCTGGAATTTCTGTTTTTCATTAGTGCATTTTAGGGGTGCTTATTTCGTTGTAGATTCTTTCAAAATGCCAGCCATTACTTTCTATTGCCTGATCTTGTCTTTGTTTTTTTGTACACAAATCCGCTCTTACTAGTGCAGTTAAAATAATGATACTTTCTGCCACTTGCACAAGAGGTTCTGTGTGGCTGGTTTATGTAGTGCTTATTACAGAAGCAAACTTAAGAGTCAGTGATTATTCAGCATTTCATTTTATCCGCTCTCCCACTCCCCACTTATCACTTTTAAAATTATTTCTGAGAAACAGTGCCATGAAATTAGTTTAATATATAGCTAATACTTTGTGGTATTTTAAAGTCTTTCTTGGTGGGTTCTGCCTTGGTAATGAACAGTTCATGCTAAGACTGACATAATTTTATTTTCCTTATTTCTTTTTGTTTACCACAGTTGCTTAAAGCATTTAAAGTATTTCTAAAGTCTTTTTTAATAGTCCAGATTAATACTTTGATGCAAGATTAAGAATTCAGGAAAAATATGTTGAGGAAGAAGAGAGATTTTTTTCATGCATAAATTATCTGGATGACTAATGTTAAGTTTTTTAGATAAAAAGCCAGCAAATTATTTTTCATGTCATAGAGTTTTTTTTTAATTTATTTACTTGAAAGGCAAAGCTATATAGAGAGAAGGAGACAGAGATCGATCGATCTTCCTTCTGCTGGTTCACTCCCCAAATGGCTGCAATGGCCAGGCAAACAGATCTTTTTTTTTTTTTTTTTTAATGCAAGACTAAGCATTTTTCTAGGGGCAAATTGTGCTTAGGGTCCATAGTGAATGAAAATAATATTTCTGTAGCTTTCCCTTGTGGCTGTTAAGCAGAGGAAATGGTGGTCAGTAAATTAAGTTCCAAAAGTGAGACTATTCACATTACTAATAAAGTTTTAGAGCTACTAGAATACTAAACTTTTTTTTTTTTTTTTAATCATCACCAGCATAGTGAAAATTAACAGAAGAATCCTGCATTTGATTTCAGTGGCTCCATTCCACAAATGTAAAGGCATGAGTCCTAGGAGAAGCCTCGCAGGGCATGTACTCTGATGTGTTCGTTAACCGTTTAGGTGAGGGAAACCTAATGAGGTAAACCGGCTTTTCCAGGACTGTTGGCAAGTTGCTGGCAGATCCATGCCCTGGAGCTCCCCAAATCGGTACGGTAGTCCAGAGAAGCAGGGTTTGCAAGACCATCCGCTTGAAGTACAGGAAGAAAATATTGGAATTTTTATTTTTATTTCATGATATAGGAACATTTCTGTATATGCTACAGTAAATATTAACACAGTAGTGTCTACATTAGCTTAAATAGTATGTAAATATACTCATGTTGGCAGTGTACCTTAACACTTTCTTTTGCTAATCACATGTAATCAGATACCAGCATTACAGGTCTAGAACAGGATCTTCATTTCGTTGGAAAGGCTCTGTGCAAAGTAGGAGATGCTAGGCCTTTTAAAAAGGGATAGAGAGGGAGAAGGGAGATTGAGCAGGTAGACTGTTCCATAGCCTTCCTCTCCTCAGCTTTCCCCAACCAAGTATATTGTACATTCTGCACAGTTTGTTCTGCATAACGAAATACAAAGAAAAAAGTGAGACTCAAGTAAAGTTCAGTTCTGGCTCCATAAATGTAGGGAGTTGTACTTATCAGAATGTACCAGGTAGAAATAGGATATTATTTTATATACATGGTAATGTATATAAAATGTAGTACCTCCTAGCCTAGGGTTCAGCATATA